AATATAATGTTTTGATTACCACATTTTAACATTGTTTTAATACACTAAAAAATATTATCTCCATATTATTATTATTAATTATTTTGCTATACATTTTAATATACATTTGGTATACTTAAAATATTATATACATTTTATTAGATTGTTAAAAAGTTGTACGCCAGCTTAGCCAGGACTGATTTTTTTGGACTTCTTTAATCTAGAAAATTGATAATTTCCATTTATAATTATTTTTTATATAAGTTTAAATCAAATATTTAATTACCTGCTTATATAGTTATACTATGTTCGAATCTAAATCTTTTAATTAATTTATACCAATTGAAGGTATATTAAATTGCCAGGTTAAAATATTAAAGTATGAATTGTAGATTACTTGTTTAATTAATAGTAGGTACATGTGGTACTATATGATTTGAGCATGTAGCAAAGTTAGTGAATGCAGTCAGTTGTGGTTAAATAATTTTGCCATTAGGTGCTTAAATATATGTCTGCCCAAAAGAGTTTTTCAGGATATTTTTTTAAATGTTTTTCATTCATAATATATTTACATGATTAATGTTTTCATATATTATAGTTAATGTTCATATTGTATTCCATGTTCTAAAATATAGATTTAATATAATGTTAATAAAATGTATACCTAATCTATGCATTTATATTATATTTTTTTTAAATATAAATAACTTTTATAAAAAACCAAATCTATTAGATACTTAAATATATAAAAAAAATTAACCTTAAAATAGATATTTAAAATGGAATATTAAATCCAATTCAACCTTAATATTTTTAAATAAAATGTATTTTAAGTTATACMAACTACAAATATGAAATAATTCTAGTCAACAATTTTAATACAAATTGGAAAGTTAGATAATAATGTAAATGTGAATTAAATAAATTAGGTTAGTAGGTAGGTATAAGTGTCTAATTACCAATAAATATAGGCGTTAAAGGAGCAATTATCTTTTAATTTTGTTGATAAATCTAGTAGACCAGATTATTCAGAAAATTCAATTATATTTAGTAACAACAGGAGCATTTAAAATAATTCCTTCCGTGTATCTTTATAATGTTTCAAAATATGTTGTCATAAACCTATCATGGCACATATATACAATTTATTTCATAAAAAACTTTAACAATATCCAGATATAATACAGTMAGCAATATTTCAAATATAATTTATTGGTACCGCTCAGAGATGTATTGATTTAAAATATCTTGGTTGAACGTTTTTATTTTTCTAAATTAATATCTGAATAATTGTGCTCTTTCTTTACTCAAAAAATATGTGGTATTACAAGTTTCTACTAAATTAAATACTAACTCAACCGATCTTTTCATAAACCTATCAACAATTATTTTATAATTTGGTTCATGATATTTTACTTGTTAACGCTAAACAGAAACTTTTTGTTTTATGTCAAACTGGTAATTGGTATTAAAAATTAAAGACAACATGTTATGGAGTTGTTAGCAGTGGTTGCTAGTAGTGGTTGGTTATAGTTCAATTATCATATTGTGTGGCTCGCTGGTCGTTRTAACATTAAACGTTGTTTATCTATTGCTGCTTATTGCAGGTCACACATGTTATATTTTATCACTCAATAGTCAATGCTATAAGTTACAATTACAATAATAACAGTATGGCATATCAATATTCATTATTTTTTTTAGATATAAATAATAATATTCCCAAACTTGCATTAAATCGATCTCATATAACAACTGTACAATTTTGACCTAAGTTTGGTTTTCAATCTTTGTATGAAGGCAAAAGATTGTTCTCATAAAATAATAAATTATATATAATATACCTACACCTACATAAATATTATAGAAAATTGATTMTAATGTACTTGCCTACTAAGGTTATTGCGTAAACATGTTTTTAAACAAATTTTGTTTACCACGCATGTATAATAGTTGAAATTAATTACATGATAGACATGTTTAATTTATATCCAAAGATGGACATTAATTTGTCAAAAAGTTAAGTTAACAAGCTAATAATTTTTATTTTTAACTAATTAATTTCTTCTGTTAAAATTTGTTATTGTTTTAACTTAACTTTTTATAGTTAAATATAACTGTTGTGCAGTTAAATTAATTATATTTTTGTATTACGCAGAACTAACAGACAATATACTGATTTGTTGATTATTTTTCAATTTTAGTAGTTTATTTTCTAATTATATATCATGCTAATCTGATGTTTGCGGTGGTAAATGTCTTGGTAAAGGTTAATGTAAATCAAAATACTAGAGAATTGTATGACTTAAGAGTATTAATGTATTATATATATATATATATATTGTAGTCTGAAAAAGTTAACTTTTTTAACTGAGTTTAGTTTATTTTATTTTCCATACTAATTTTAAACTGATCGAGTTAAATATTTTCTTTGTTAACTTTTAATTTTAATCGAATTAACATAACTTCACTTGCTAGTTTGCTACTGTTAATTATTTTCATAAATTTTTTCAACCTTGCAAGGGGCTCCTATTATTTGTGTACAATRTGTCCATACTTCACTAAACTTCAGTATGGTGTATATATATAATAGGTATTAAATTTCAGTTGATGCTAAAACATCTGCATGAATAAAATAAATTGATTATAAAAATGATCAGAGTGAATATTACGATTTTAAATTGCAATATAATATAAAAACGGTAAGTATCTAATAATTAGGACTAGGATTTATATGCATTTGCATGTTTTTTTCCTTTAGTCCAAACTCCAAATTGATTGGTTGTCAGATTTGTCCACGATTTGGCTTATTCTCGTTTAAATAGGACCAATTTTTTTTTTTTGCATATTTTGGACATAATGCTTATAATTGCATATTCATAGATTTTTTTAGAATTCGATATTTTTTAACTAACATTTTTAATTTTTATAAGTTATTGTTAATTTTAAATGATACTTCACGAAACCGACAGTTTTCGATTTATCCGTTGAATTTTCGTAAATATATAGCATAAATACTACCTATTTTATCTTAGGTCAGATAATATCCGTTCGTTCCCTTATCGTTGGTCGGACGACTGGTAGAATTACTTACACATTG